CACCCACACAACCTGGGGTCAGGCTCTTTCCCACGCACCCCACACAACCTGGGGTCAGGCTCTTTCCCCTGCACCCCACACAACCTGCAGTGAAAGGCATGAAGAAATGGCGAACAAGGAGAAGATATCTTTAAAATAAACATATTATTATTAAAGTTCTTCAGTATAATGAGAATGAAATCTTTGAAGATTTAAAGTTGAATTTAATATCACAGTAGTATTAGATCTCATATTATACAGATTGGGAAATTTTGTTTTTAAAGTATTTGCCTTTTTTTAAGCCAGTTTTTTTAATGAAACATTTGAGGCTCACAGAAGGGGATACAGGCAAATAAGTAAAACCAACACCCACTTATACATCTCGCAGCTGGGGAGATGGAAACTTGATTACAATGAGACACACAGGGGCCTTCCTCAATCCGGTTTCCTCCCCTCCAACCCAGAGTCGTAGCTAATTTGACTTTGTTACCCAAAGCACCTTTTTTTTAAATCCTGAAATCACTGAGAGATTGAAAGAAATTTAGTATTTTCTGTACTAGCTCAGGAAACCCTGGTGGCATAGTGGTTAAGAGCTATGACTGCTAACCAAAGGACTGGCAGTTTGAATCCACCAGGCACTCCTTGGAAACTTTATGGGGCAGCTCTACTCTGTCTTATAGGGTCACTAGGAGTCGGAATCGATTTAACAGCAATGAATTTTTTTTTTTTTTTAATACTCACTTAGGCAATAATCAACCCTGAACCAAGCTGGTTGAAACCTTTAAATATGAACTAAGCTCGGAGTCTACACACACTCAACACCCATCGCCATTGAGTCAATCCGACTCATAGCGACCCTATAGGACAGAGTAGAACTGCCCCGTATGGTTTCCAAGGAGCACCTAGTAGATTTGAACCATAGCTCTTAACCACTACACCACAAGAGCTCGGAGTCCTCACTTTATTTAACAGATAACATTGATTGAGCTCTTATTCTGTGCAAGGCTTTGAAACTGAGAAAAATAAAAAAGTATATTATTTTCTATATTTGAGTGTTGTGGCCTTGTATATTAGCATAGAAACTGAAGGTAGAACAGTGTGCTCTTTCCAGCCAGGGTGCTAGAGTTGAGGAGCTTCTACGAAGAGAGAGCTGGGAGAGCGGTGCATTCACAACGGAGGAAGGAGAATGGGCCTCCTCCTCCTGAGAACAGCAGGGTCTGCTCTTCAGCTCTCCCCTTGCTTTATAGGAAAGCGCAAGAGACCCCGCCATCCCATGGAAGCTCTTCTCAGGAAGAGAGAGGGAGCCAGCCTCTGCCAGCCCCTGTGCAAAATTGCATTTATAGACTCATTATTGGGAACAAATTTGGGAAAGCAGAGAGAGTCTTGTTTGTTTTATCGTATATGCCTTGATTACTGACGAATATTGAAACTGGACTGGCAATATGTTTAACTTCCATATCATGAGTTTTAGAGGATAAAGCACTGAACCTCAATAAGCGGATCTGCTCTAATTGCTGCTTTGCCACTAACTAGTGATACAGCTGCAAACTATCATGTCAGCTCTCTGGGCCTCCTTCCTCTGCAGTAAAATGAACTGCCTCTTCTAGAAGGCCTAAGATCTCAGTCCAAATTTTTAAATTCATAAGTTTCTGGAGAGTACTAATTAGAGTAATATTCAAGAGTTGTAAGGCCTGGAACTCACTTAATAAATGCCTACTAAAAGTAGGTGATTTTCAAATGTTATCTAATTTGCTCTTTAAAATTCTATGAGGTATTTTATAGTTGAAGAAAGTGAAATTTAGTAAATTAGGTTAAGTCACTGGCCCAAAGACACATAGCTAGTATGTGGCAACATGGGGATCAAAACAGATTCGCTGCCAATCAAAGCCTGTATTTTTTCCATCTGCCTTTCCCAATCCTGACCCCTCAAAACACAGAGCAGATAGGGAAAGCAGTGTACATCAAATACCTATTATGCGCCAGAAGCTATATCTCAATGAGTACCCAAAACAACTTTCTAAGGTAAGTAGTTGTGGTACAATGGATCACTTTTATATGGCCTTTTTTGCCATGGTCTTATAACTCCTGCTAAATGACTTGGTGGGATTATGCTAATGAGGTTCTTATCGCCCACCTATGGGATTGGATAGCTTACTAATAGTGTAAATAAGGCACATGGCACCCTTGTGGGGGTGAGACCATGCAAATAAGGTATATGGAACCCTAACGAGGGGATTAGTAAGTTTTACCATCCTGCTAGGCTTAAAAGAGGAGCTGTAACACAGAAGACAGCAAGAGATGGTGGCCCAGCCCTAGCAAGAACGAGAAGCAACAGCAGCAGAGACAGAAGAACCAGGAGACTGGCAGGAAACAGTGTGATGGGCTTCCTGGCCCACAGAGTGAGAGAGCTGAGTGCCTTCAGGCCGAGGCTTCCTGGCGGTGTGGGGTGCCCTGGGCACTTATTGGCCAAGCTAAAGAGCTTTGTAACACTTACCTGAGCAGGGCAGAGGCCAGGCTGAGGAGCCAAGAGCCAGAGAGAGGTCAGCCTTCCAGCACAGCAGAGAAGAGGCTGTCCTAACACAAGAACTGTATCCTGGGTATTTTCTGATCCTTAACTGTAACCTGTTACTTCCCTAATAAACCTCATAATCTTGAGTATGGTCTGTGAGTTCCGTGTGGCCGTTGCAACACATTATTGAACCCAGCAAAGAAGAAAAGATTGCTGTGGGAGGAAAGGGTGGTATCAGAATTGGTAAAAAGGTTGGAGAGAGGAGGTCTGTCTGACCTCTGCCTCAGAGGAATCAGCCTTGGGTGGTTGATCTTGATTCTTCTCCCCTCCTGTGAAGTTAGAGGAGGTCAGACGCCTCCGCCATGCCATTTTTACAGTAGTACTATTTACTCCTATTTTAAAGATGAAGAAACTGAGGCACAAGGGATGAAATCATTTGCCCAGGATCACATAGATAGTACATGGGAGAGCTAAGACCTGACCCTGGACCTGTCTGACTCCACTATAATATACTACAGAAATAGAGATACATGTACTTTTTTAATTAATTGTTTCATTCTATAGTGAATTGTATGTGCACATGCAGTTAAGAGTCTTGGGTATGAAATGTGACTCTCCTTAGACGAGCAATGGAATGACTAATTATGACCCTGATTTGGTTCAAGACTGAACAAAGTTTAAATGAATACTAGCCAATAATAGGATCTAAATACTAGCAAATTAGAATTTCTGGATTATCTCTCTTTGTAGAATTATCACTTCAAATTAATTGAATTGAGGTCTTTGGTGTGATTATACAGAAAATGAGAGATATTATAGGTATTTGGCTTCTGCCAGATATTGATTTAGGAATCTAATACTGTAACTTAAAACCACAGCAAGTTCCAGTCAATACAATCAGTGACATGTGCTCACTCCCAAGCTATTTGTAGTTAATAAAAAATTAAGGGCTCCTTTTTTCCAATATTGTTACTTTTAAATGTCAAGAATCAGATGTCTGTTGTTTAGAACTATTGTACCGCTGCCAGTGACTGTCTGTATCAGGGTTTGGAGCAGGGACATGGATTTGAAGACACTAAAACTGTTTAATTCTCAGTTGAGATGTGGTTGGCTTTTATACATTTGGAATAAAGCATTTATGGCACATCTCAGGGTAAGTGCTAATAGTTAAGTACATAAAAATAAGAAGGGGTTCAAGACAGTAAAAGTGGTTTTGTTGTTGTTTTGATTTTGCTTTGAAAAACCTAGATTCTTGGTTCTGTATTATGCCTCTTTATGTAAACCTTATTGTGTTCAATGCCTGTCTTATAAAGCCATTCAGAGGAGCAAGATTTTAGATTTCCAACTGTTAGCCTAAAAAAGATCCCTTCCAACCGTGGATTTTGCATTCACCCAGCAGCAGAAACAGGAAAAAGGGAAACAAAACGCTCTCCGGTAGAAGTAGAGAGAGAGAAGCAGAGAGGGAGAGAGAGAGAGAGCAAAACCGAGACAGAGAAAGAAAGCTCTCTCAGATATGAAATTTTAGGAGATCAAAATGATCGACCTTTTTAAGGCTGAGTGGGTTTCTTCAGTTTGTGTGCAAGTTTCAAGAAATGGAAGGACTGACCAGGTTTGGGTACAATTCTTTTTTTACTTTGTATTTGGTGATGGTGTGTTGTTGGTTTGGGGTGTTTTTTTTCAGATGGGGGGGATAATTTTTGTTATTTTATTTCTTGTCCTAAATAATGGCTAGTAAGACTGAAGTAGCTAAGAAACTAATGTATGCAGATAGTAAGAAAACAGGTCGAAACATCAGATACCTACAAATCTGTCTCAACAGGGGCTGTATAAAATCTTTAATTGATACAGGTGATCTCGTGAGGTGCTGCTAGAGGACATTATGTGTGCTAGTCATTGAAATGTGCTTGGACGTTTTCTGGTACAAGACTCTTTTATGCTTACTGTTCTTTTGCAAAATTAAAATTTCTAAGTTGTTGTTTTCTTTTGTTGGTTGGTTAAATAAGACTATGAAAGATCACTGAAGAATCATTCACAGCAATCTTGAACCCAGAATTTCTTTTTCACTGTAGGTACAACTATTTTTCAAAATTCTGTTACAGATCATTTCAATCTTCTGGCCAGTTGGGTTTTTCTTTCCCTGGCTGAGTTTTTCCTTCCTCTTGTTTTAGAACAATTTAAATTATACTAATTCAGTTAAAACTACTTTATGTGAAATTTATGACAATGTTGAACAATTTTATTAATGACTTAGCTGCGCTGTTTCCTTGCTGCCTTTTTTAAAAAACCTCATCAACCACATTAATTGATGAATTTCTTTATTCTTAATTTAAATTGCCTTAATAGCCTAGCAAGTGAATGTCAGGAGGCTTGAATATATTTCCTACGTGGCTTTGCATCATCTTTTCCTTAAATGTCCCTGATCTTGGTAGAGATGCCCTTCTTCACTGATAGAAAGATAAGTTTTACTCCTGCCCGACTTTCACTTTGAACGTGGAGAGAGTGATCAGTGGCAGGATCCTGGTCATTCTTTCTCTCTGATTCTCTATAATTTTCAGTATTGCCCATATCCAGTTAATGGGAGGAAAAACGGACAATTGTCAAAACACTGAGAAAACAAGGGTCCAGAAAAAGTCACAGTAAAGGGAAGATCAAAAGTCAATAGAAAAGCCTTCTTGGAAGTTGTTAAAGAAACGTTATTCTTCTTGGTCTGCACTTTTATTATTCTAAAGATATTTTTAGCAATACCAAAAGTGCTTGGTTAGCCAGAGTCGGAGGTTTCTGCATGTCACACACACTTCCTGATCCCACCGAGTTCTCATCTACTAATTGAAGGTAAAACACTGATTAGCAAAGAGTCAAAGAGAAAGACTGGCCTTGGATCATGCAGTGGCCAGTGGACTTATTTTCACTTTTCCATTCTCCTTAAAGGACAGTTTGCTTGATTATAAACTAAAAACAGTAACCCAAGGTAATCATTCACCGTTCTGTAAGAGAGAGATGCGTCCATAATCTCTGGTCCATTTGAGATCATGGCTTTCCACAACTTCACACAGTGACTTGTGAATGGTAGGACACAGTGGTCTTCTGTTTGACGTCTTAGAGGGCCTGCTAAAAAATATATGTAATATTGCCAAGCTTACTTTGATTTGGTGATTAGGTTATGGTTTTCACCATTTCTGTTTTAGGTTGAAAGGCAACAACGTCTTAATGGATTATTGTGAACTGAAGTTCAATGGCAGAAATCTTTTGCTTAGGCTTAGCGTCGTTTTTCCCATTTGGAAGAGCATGTATTGCTAGGATCCATGGCCATAGATTTTTTTACTTATCTGAAATTTTGTATCTATAACTTTTCCCCTTGGATAAAAATTGTGTGCACGTATAAGTTCACATCCAAGGCTCCTTTATCTGCTTCCCAAGACCATCTTACCTCCTCTTCTGCCAGCACCCTCTGGCCCTAGTAACTGCCATTTGAAACACATTCTGGCACAGGGAGTTTTTTTTTTTTTTTTTTTACCTTGTTTTGGGAAATGTATGGTTAAGTATTTTCCTAAATTCTTAAACTGAAACCACAATATTGCAATACAGAAGTGGTTTGATTTTCTTCAATGAATGATTTATTCTCCCCCAACCCAGTCCTCTCTGTTTGTAGCCAAAAAGTAATGATTAAAAAAATAATTAATCAATTACACTTACACAATTGACAGAGGTAAAGGAGGGAATGTCGTGTAAAAAAAGGCGTATCATCCACTCCTTCTGTTACTTGTGACTGATTCCTTATTTGTACTATTTGTTAATGCTTTTATTTTTTGGAGAACGCTCACATGACCAAGGAAAGAACTTTCTGAGTCTCTGGTCTTTTAAATGTAAGAATATATTGACTGTCTTTAAAAATTGTTGTTGTTATTTTTTACTGGCTGAAGTTTAGCAATTTGCCTGTCTCATTTCCATCTCTAAGATAAAGAGACTTCTAATTACATTTGCAAAATGAGTTTTCTAGATAGGTCGGTTTTTTTCTTTCATGTACATTAGGTCACTGTTCTCTCCCAACTGGAATTTGTACTCATTGTTTACTCAGACTTAGGATAACTTCCCACAAAGTTTCAGGCTTATGATATGGCAAGCGTGTCCATGAAGCCAATTATGTGCAGTCTAGATTTGCTGTATGCGTGTGTACAGGGCCATATATATGCACTACAGCTGCATGGACATTCCTGCACCCATACCTCTAAGATGTGCGTTTGTACATACGCTCTATTAGATCTCTGATTAATGGAATAAGATCCATTTTAAATGTACTACTTCACGAAGTCCATCTAAGACGAATGACTGATGTGGGGAAACAGGTTTTTTATAGATCACACTTAGAAAACTAATCACCTTGCTTTTAAAGTGATTATATCATCTCAGACCACCAGTGTAGACTAGTTAAGGATGTCTTGCGTCCCTCGTGTGAGGATAAAGCAGGTCTTAGTCCCCTTGATACAAAGAGATATCCAAAAAACAGTGAAAGGAAATAACTTCTGTACCCCGTATTTTTTTTAACCCCTGTTGAATATGTCCCTGCAGGATTGCTAATGTCTCCCTAGTTTTACTCCCCAGGACTCTAAAACCTTAAGACATGTGATTAACGAACTAGGCATTTTGAGTTTTTTTCTCCCCAAAAATGGCAGCTTTAGAATTACAGATCCTCAGCATTGAAAGTTCATCTCCATAGCTTCCCATTCGTGAACACTGCGAAATAAACATAGCTTCTTTCTACCTACATATTTCTCACCTTAGGATCACTTCATCAAAGAAAGCTTTGGTACAATTTAGTCCAGCCCACTCTTTTTAAAAATGAGGAAAACAAATCCTAAGGAGACACCTTGACTTATACAAGATCAGTCATGTTGTCAACAGCAAGGACTAGAACTCTCACCGCCCACCTACCCGTCCTGTTCTTTCCCCATGAGGTCTTACACAGCTGTGAGAACACTCAAGGATATTCTGAAGACTCTAACTAGCTTATCCATTCTTGCCACATCCTTTTAAGGCAGTGGGGCCAAGTCACAAGAAGGCAAAGGGAGAAAAGAACCAATCTGAAAGTTAGATTTAAAGCATGTTTGTGGCTTACAAGGCTCAGAGATGAAGACAATTGTTAACTAAATAATTACCTGCAATTTGTAATTCTATGGTTACAAACAGCAGGATAGTATTTTTAGCTTCTAAAAGGAGGAAATGGGTGTGTTTCTACCGTTACCCCTGGTTATGTTTCTACTGTTACCCCCGTCAGTCCCTCCTGCATCCCGGAGGTTTCATTATGAGTAAACCATGCACCAAAGGAGAACAAATGGAACCCTACTGTCCACATTTGGATACCTGGTCTCTAGGCACCGATGTTCAGAGCCTCAGGACTGGATTCCGAAGAAAGCAACTTCACTCTTTTGGCAACCAGTTCTCCTCACCTGACTTTCCTAGGATAAAAATTGTTAACATAGCTGTGACTATCCAAAGCCTAAATCAATATACATGGTGTGGCATGTATAAGAGTATGTATTGGGACAATCAGAGCAAATATATTAAGTTGGGGCAACTCTAGAGATCTCAGAGGAAGAGTGCACAGGAGATGCCTAGGGCTGTAGGCAGATTCCTTCTAGGTCACTACATCTGAAATTGAAAAGTAAATGGGAAGATCTAGCTCTAAATTAGAAATGCTATGTGATGTATTATAAAATGCCATCAGTATGGGGTAAAAATGAGCATAATAATATCACATGCATCTGCATCTATCCAAAAAAAACAAACCCATTGCCATCCAGTCGATTCCGACTCACAGTATATATGGTCACCTGTTCTTCATAGAATATTTAAGACAATGGGTCCTTAAGTTTATGTGCACAGGACTCATCTTGACAGTTTCTATAAAATGAGGATTTCTGCCATCAACCCAAGAGATTCTGATTCCATAGATATCGGGTGATTCTGATACGCAGAATCAATTTAACAGCCACACTTTTAAGTAACCCAAGTCCAGGGACTATCAGGCTCAATTTATCATTTTATTTACTGAAGGGGGCAGTAGAGTCTAATAGATGGAAACATAGAATCATCTTCAGATGATCTATTTGCTTTAATATTGCCACTGACTTCCTCCATGACTCGCACTCTCCTTACTTAATGCTTCCGTTTTAGGTCTGTAAAATGGGCATGACAATATGACTCTGAGTTTGTTTCCAGTCTCAGAAAAAAAGCTTAATTTCAGATTTGAAAAGTAAATGAAAAATATAGTATGACTATGTTTTAAGTTTACAAATCCTCAAATGTTAACATGTTTCTCCTCTTCTTCATGTGCTCATGTACCA